GATAGATAGATAGATAGATAGATAGATAGATAGATAGATGAGGGAAAATGTGCATCTATGCAATGAAAGGCATATAAAATATGTGCAGCAGCTCTATTTTCATTGCTCACAACTGACAAAACTCAGCTACCTATCAATAATACTGCTTATAAACAACCTGAGAAATGCTCAAATACACATGACACCTTAGAGTATTGCTTCTCAGTCTTTAGCCTGAATTAAAATTATGTGAGCTCTTCTTAAAATTCAGATGTCTGGACCTCATTTCCATAATTTAAGATTCAGTAGATCTGACTGGAAACTGAAATTTACATGTCTATCAAGGTAGTTTGTCCCTTTTTGTGATGTAGTAGAGAACATAAATAAACACAGTGGGAACAGTTCCCACACATATCTTGAGAGAAATAAGACTAAATTGCACATAACATATAGTTTATAATTATAGGAAAAAATAGGTAAAGCAACTTATGGTATAAGCATTTAGGTGAGTAATTGTCAGGCATGAAGTTTACTGGTTAGAATTCTTCATGAGCTGAACTTCTGGATGCTGACGAACTACTCAATTGGGAGCTGGTTTCACAAGTGTGCTCATCCTGTAAAATTTCATGAAACTATATCCTTAGTGTTTGTGTACTTTTCTTCCTGAATGTTATGCTTGAAAACACAAAAATTTATTGAAACAGAATCACCAAATTCATGAATATATCTATAATTATATATAATTTATACTTACATTAAATTGTAATTTACGTATTGCAGTGAATTACTTATATATTTTTCATCTATAAATTATATGTAATCATAAATATACATTCATTTACAGAATAGTATAAGCATCAATTCGTATTTGTTAGTTTCATTTATTTTGAAGCATGAAGAAGCAGTGTTGGTATTATATGAATATCAATTCTATAAAAATAGTTGAATGGCAGATGAAAGGATTTAGAATGACAGATAATCTCACAGTGTCTCAGACATAAAGTACAATCCCTTTCTACACCATTGGTGTCTGGTGTTATCATTTTGATCTTTGGATATAGCTGTTGTGCTGTGGTTTTCACAATGACTCATACAAGAGACACAATCCTTCATCTTGTGCCTAAAAGGAAATGAAAACACAAAAGACTATTTTTTCACTAAAATTTGCTACCTTGCAGTCATTTTTCCAAAATGAGGAAGGGAGAAGTTCAACAGGCAGATGTGTTTTCACTAGTCGAGGAGACTTCATGTTTTGTAAGAGTTCAATACCTGCAAGCACACAAATTAACAAACTGCATTATAATTGTGAAATTGAATGGTTTATTACAGCTTAGCCAAATATCTGCACTCATTAATGACCTGATATATGGGGTTTTGCTTTTTGTTTTTGGTTGTTTTTGGCTATATGACCCAGCAATTTCATAGATTCCTGAAATCTTGGATGGGAAAAGCATGAAAAATCCTAGTTAATTTGACTACTGTATTCTCTCTAAGGAAATTGGTAAAATTATTTTCATGTGTCCTTAAAATCTTCCTTATTTGTAATACCTTCACAGAGCAGAAACAGCAGTTCATCTCTGAAACACCATCTACAGCTTTTCCTTTCATCCTTTCTGCTCATTTACAATATGAAAAGATGGAATGAGAGAACTCAAAATCCCCTTCCACTTCTTTCATGTTCAAATTCTGTAATGAAATTATACTATAATTCTCATTTCAATTTTTAAGATTTTAATAATGCAAACATACTACTACCAACAATAATGATAAAAATAATTTTTGAGTTTATAAATATCAGCTAATGTGTAGCATATATAATTCTATGGTGAAGCATTGAATTTTCTTGATTATAATTATGGTACACTTGTTAAATCACAAAGACTCCCATATTAGGAAATTTGTGGTAGAGGAATGTTTCTCTTTAGAATTATCTTTGGGTTAAGGGGGCCTAACAGATTCTCAACTTTACTGTTATGGACAGGATTTAATGGTGCTTGCTCTTTCTGTGTCATGGTTGCTATTGACTCCTTCACAAGAAAACACTATAATCCTTATAGTGACAAGGATCATTTAGAAAAATACCATTTGACAATCCAGGAATTATAAGTTCCATGAATGGCACCCGTTTGTATATTGCATCCCGTTTACACTTCTCTACATCTCCATTGTTATAAATCAAATCCAGTATTTCACTGATCCAGGTTGTTCCTAAGGGAGAAAAATGGAAGAAACTAAATATTTCTGTTGAAAAGAGTGTAAATCAATAGTATTTTAATATCCAAAACACAAGTGTGATTTTTATTTCAACACTTTTGCTCCAACTGCTCTCCAGGAAACACCCTCATCTATGATAAAGATACACATATGTACTCTATATGTATACAAGATGATTTTAAACAGGCTCAAGAAATCAGTTTTCTTTACTGGTGTGATGCCTGGTAAGTTGACCAGACTCCAGCGGACGGACTGACACCCAAGAGCATCTGGGAACAAAAATTAGACTCTCTAGGACTTAAGATAAAAGAGAAATAATAATAGAGAACATGAATTAGGGTGGGGGGGAGCAGTAAGGTGGGGGTGGAAATGAGGAAAGGGGGTCTGAATGTAATTAAAACACATTTTCTGAAATTCTTGAAGCAATAAGAATATTTTAAAGGCTCGAAAAGTAGGTCAAACAAAGATGCTGAGGAGACAGTATATAAATAATGAGGGTAAAGCCCACTTGGTGAAACGGACAGGAGAAGGAGCCAACTTTTATGAGAGCATCAGTTCATATACTTATTAACATAAAACTGATTGCCCTTGGAACTAAAGAGAACTTTAGATAATGATGATCAACATTTAGGTGGAAAGATGAAAAAGAGAAACAAAGAAAACTGTCAAAAGACAACAGGACTGATGTGAGCAAAGTACAATGATTCACTCTGGCCTGCGTATACTGAAGGTCACCAGTCCTGTGAGAGACACATCTAAAACACATGAGGGCATGGTCTACTTCACTCCCTGTATCACTCAATTCTCAGACTACTGAGAAATTTCTATTGAAAGAACATGATAAAGAAAAAAAAACTATCTTCTTAATTTTGAGTTTATTTACTTTTGTTTGTTTGTTTTTCACTTTAGGAATGGTGTTTCGCAGTCCCTATGATTGAAAAATCATAGCAGCAAGTAAAATCTAATATAAACAAGGTGTGGTGGTACACGGCTTTAATTCCAGACAGAGGCAGGGAGAGCTCTGTGTGATCAAATCTAGCATGGGCTACATGTGAAGTTCCAGGCCAACAGGGGTTACAGGAAGATGCTGTCTCAAAATAAAATAAAATAAAATAAATAAAATTTAGTTAATCCTTGTTACGACATTTTTAAGAGTGAAATCCGATTGCATGCATGCACCTCTGGACTGTTCTCAGACTCTAGAGAGGACATATGTAAAGGAAATGTCACCGTTCAACCCAGTGTTTTGTATGCTAACTTGGAAAATTAAAATAAACACAAAAGAGTGAAAATTTTGCTAAAACTACCTTGTTTTTCATATTTGCAATGTTTTATGGAAAATTTCTTCACTTCTTAATGAGGATCATCTAGTCATGCAGGGTTTATGAACTTGGCAGATCAGAATACACAAATTCCAATTTTCCCCCCAGGACTTGTTGCATATTACTTTGAAATAATTTAGACAATTAGCAGTTCAGATACTTATTGAAAACTTTTTCCTTAAGAAATTAGATAGAAATATAAAGGAAAGTTGATTTTAGAGTGTTTATTAATTAGGAAGGTTGATAATGGCTTCAAATAAATTAATAGAATACTTATTATTTAAGAGACAAATATTTTCTGCTCTCTGTTTCTTTATCATGGGGTCAATCATAAGACTGTCATAATAGAACTAGAGAAATAAAAACTGTATTTTAAACATGAAAAATGTGTAGTTGCCTCCTGTACACTTTACTACAAAAATGTATTTAAAATTGATACACTTAATATATTTTAATACATCCACTATATATTCCAAAATGCATATGCCCAAATCACATATGTATAATTTTAGTAAATTGAATTTGGATTCATACAATAAAATAAGAAAAGAGCATTAAATTTTCCTGTTCTTCATTTAATTGTTGGTAGTTCAGAATTGAAAGTAAAGCTATCTAACCTAAGGCAACATTGTCCCAACAAATCACAATGTTCCTACAACATATGTTTGAAGATTTTAGGCTCCGGGCTGGAGAGATGGCTTAGCAGTTAAGAGCACTGGCTGTTCTTGTAGAGGACCCTAGTTCAATTCCCTGCACCCATACAGTGGCTAACAACTGTCCGTAACTCCAGTTCCAGGGAATCTGGCTCATTTCTCTGATCATGGGCATTGTATGACATGGATGTACTTACTTACTGCACATTACATGTGCAGGCAATACACTCAGACACATAAAACAAAATAATAAATAAAATATTTTTTTAAAAAAAGAAAATTTCAGGCTAGACTAGACGAGCTCCTAAGAGTGTATTCTTAGCTAATAATATAAAGTTTATAAATAAAGATAGCTTACCCGACTTGGGATAGGTAGAGATCAAAAGATCATCAGGCCGGGCCTCAAATGACTCCACCTGAGACCACTGCTCAGCAATGCTCCAGAAAAGAGGGACGCCCTGAACATCCACTAACTCCCTCCTGAAGATATCCGGTTTGTTTTCCATTTGGGAGAACTAGATTTTAACAAAGAGTAGAATCATTCAAATTACAAATCTGTACTGTTTTAATCATAGTATCATTATTCTGATTTCAAAGACATCGACTCACTGCATGTGTGTTAAAAATCAAGGGGAGAAAAGAAATAACATATGCCAATAAAATTTTGCATAGTCATTTCCATTATTGATATTAATACACAACATGATAAAATCATACTTCATTTGTGTATTGATGTTATTTACCAAGGCAAAGATTTTTAAAATATGTGATAAGGTTACCACACTTTGGAATCAAGAGGAAAGCATCAAATGCAAGGTTATCAATAAACTTGAGTGGGAACTCGAGCAAGTTCTGTAGCTGAGCATTCCTTCTTAGTTATAAAATCAAGCATGGTCTAAATTATTTGCAGTCCTTCTGAAATACATAAAATGACACAGGATCCTCATAAGTGAGTGTTTATAAAGTTCTTTAGTGAAAGAGATGCAACATATATCCAAGAATTCTCGAATTTCTAGTTTATTTCTTCCTCAGACATTTGTTCCTCTGTTAAATGTTACCCTACCCCACTTTTCTTACTTTTATACCCTGTCATACATAATTAGAATATTTTAACAATATGTCTTTAAATTTAAGTGAGGGATGTTATAAAATAGGCTCTGATTGGCTTTAGAACTAAGCACTTCAAGTAAGGGCACATTTGCTTGCCTTCTGCCTGTCACGGGAAGAAAAGAACTTGAAATATACCTGTAATCTTATCCCCAAATAAATCTACCTTCATTCGGGAATGAAATGAGGAATCACTTTTCTTCCTTTGAAATTCTAGTTTAAATGTTTTAGCAAAACAGAGACCTGTAAAGCTGAGATATGAGGATTTCTGATAACCTCTATCATCAACCACTTGCCAACAAAATGTAAAGTCTGAAGTCTTTGGAGTCAGTAGATTAAAAACTGGCTCTATATCTGTGGCTTTTACATTAGATTCAACTACCTATGCATGGAAAATGTCCAAAGACATTATGTAAAACAACTCAGTCTCATAAAACAGAACACATAAACTTATGCTGTAGTACTCAGACTCTTTTGTTTTTCCCTATAATTCACAAGAAAAGAATGTTTAAATAAGAGCCTACACTTATAAAATCCCAAAAAGAAACTCCAAACATTCTAGTGAAAACACTACATACACAGAACAAAGTGCATTAAAAGTTACAAAGGACAAAATCAAGTCACATGTGAAGGCCAATCCATTGGAATGATAGATGACTTTTCTAGAGAAACTTTAAAAGCCAGAAGGCCTTGGAATGGCAAGGTATTTCAAGTTCTGAAAGACTACAAATGCCAACACAGATTACTATACGCAGGAAAACTTTGTGTCAAATCTAAGGACAAAGAAAATTTTCCATAATAAAAGCAGGCTAAAAGCAATTTATGACCAATAAGTCAGATCTACAGAGGATACTGGCAAGACTTTTTCAGACTAAAGAGAAAGGCAAACACATCTCAGGGACTTCAGGAAGGAATTGAACACACTTTTAAAAAAGTTAGGTGAAAGAGGACTAAGAAAATGCCACACTGAAGAGCATTTGCAGAACAGGCTTTAAAATGATAGTAGAAGTAAGAGAAGTAGGGTAGGGATGGAGACGGGGGTGGGGTCTGAATATGATCCAAATATTGTGTAAAGTTCTAAAAGAATCAATACAAATATTTTTAAAAGGAGTTGAACTGAACAAAAATAGATTAGTGAAATGGAGAGAAAATTCCCAGAAGACGAAATTCAAAAGGCTAATAAACATTCAATTTTACTAGTCAAGAGAAAAATGCAAATCAAAACTTCCTTGACATTCTATCATAGCCAAAATGAAATGGCAATTATCAAGAGACAACACAATGCTGTTGATGCAGACGAAGGGGAGGCCCTTCACACTGCTGGCAGGAACATAAACAAGTTCAGTCTCCATGCTGGTCAACACACAGGTTTCTCAGTCATCATTAGGTCTTCCATATGATTTCACTATACCGCTCCTATGTATTTACCTGAAAGACACCAAATAAACTTACCTCTGACATACTGACACATCAATGTTTTGCAGCCCAATTCATAATAGGTAAATTATATACCAAACATGTTCTGACAACAGAAGAATGGTGTTAGAATTTGAGATGAAAAGTCGATGTGAGAATAAAGAAGTAGGAATTCAATCCTACCTCAACAGATGCAGATAGCTTTATTAGCTACAAAGGGCAAACAACTTTCCCGCAGGAAAGGAAGTTGTGTGTCTGGGTTAGGTGAGGTCTGGGATTTATATGTGGGCCCAGAAAATCCCAGAAAGTGTTCTGTGCATTCTTCAGTGGTTTGGAGTTCTTTCTAGGAAGGAGAGATGGGAGTTCTGATAAGAGGTTTGATAAGGAACCAGATCTACCAGGAGGCTGATAAGGAATCAGATATCTTTTACTGGGGCCATGTGTTCTGAAATAGATGTATCTCCTTCCTGAAGTGAGGAGGCAGGGTGGGCAGATAGTTTGTTCAGTCATTTGTCAGGTTAATTTTCCTTCAAATGGAATAAAACAATTTCACCACACACACACACACACACACACACACACACACACACACACACACACATATACACACACACACATATACACACACACAATACAAAAACATGTCAATTGCACAAAAATGAATATAGCTTGAAATAATCATATTAAGTGAATTAAGCTAACCTCAGGAAGACAAATATTCTATGTTTTCTCTCATTTATTTTCCTAGATTTTGTATAAATACACAAAATTATATATGTATATATGAAACTAATGTAGAAGGAGAAGTATCTAGTGGACCAAGGGTGCTAAAGGGAGGAGGAACTGTGAAAAGAATTGTGAGTAAGAAGTGTGAGAGGCAATCTACTAAACACAGAATAAAAAAAGTATGAGAGCTTTAAAAATAAACGAACAAAGAATTCATTAACAGCAACACAATATTCCCCCAATGGTTAACATTTCTTTCTGTTAATTTATGTTGTTTAATTATGAGAAATGCAAGGGTGCTTTTCAAAATTAAGTTCTGATCACTTAAAATGTGGATATAGATTCTCTTCACCTCAAGCATTTCAAGTAGACATCTATAAGTAACATGTGCCGTAACTCCTCTGGATGATACCTTCTTAAAAAGAGTAGTAAAAAAAATACATGTTGAGTGAAAACTGCCTTCATTTCCTTTCAGAGGAGCCATATTTTTTCTTATTTATTAACATGATTTTCTAGTGAGATGCAGAATATTTCAGTCTCTTCTCTAACTCTCGGTTCTCTAACATAAAATATGAAAACTAAAATATGTTAAGTTAAAGAGCTGCAGGCCCAGGGTAGGGACCAAATCTGACTCTAGGAAAACTGGATTTCAACATGCAGAAAAATGAACCTACATCCTTACTTTCACCCTGCATAAAACTAAACTTCCTGTAGATCAGGGGCCTCACCATAATACCTGATACAATGAAAGTTTTAGTAGAAATGTAGGCATGCACTCCAAATTATATGAAGTTTTTTTTTTTTCTGAATAAGACTCTATTAGCACAGAAAATGAGGCCAACAATCCAAAAATTGGATTTCATGAAACAAAAAAGCTACTGTACAATAAAGAAAAGTGTGATTCATGTATACACGCAGTCTGCAGAATTGGAGAAAATCTTTGCCATCTTTTTATTCAACAGAAGATTGATGTCTGGCATGGACAAAGAACTAAAACAAAAAACCCCTAAATATTAAGAAAATAATCCAATTAAAAATGGACTATGGAACTGAACAGAAAATTCCCCAAAGAAGAAATTCAGTCTAATATAATACTCTATATCCTTGGCCATCAGGGAAATGCAAATTAAAAAAACTCAGACACCATCTCACCCTATCAGAAAGGACACCATCAGAAAGACAAAAAATTCTGACATGGATGTTGAAAAAGAAGAACTCTTACACACTCTTGGTTTGAAGTGTAAACTATTGTAATCACTTTGCAAATCAGTCTGAAAGTTTCTTAAAAATCTAGAAATAGAACCACCATACCACCAAATATGCCACATGTGCACATATATCCAATGGACTTTATATTCTCCTAAAGAGACATATGCACATCCATGTTCATTACTGCTCTAGTTACAATAACTGGGAAGTGAAATAAACCTAGATATACCTCAACAGAAGACTTGTTCAGAAAAATATGGCACATATGCATAATGTATTCCTTAGCTATAAAGAAAAATGAAATCATGTGATTTGCAGGTAAATGGATGGAACTGGAAATAATTACAGAGTAAGGTCACCCACCCCCTGTAAGACAAATGCTACATGTTATTTCTGATTTGTGGATCCTAATTCCTAATCTCAAATAATTTCTGTGTTTAATTTAGAGCGCATGTGAAAGTTAAAAAGGGTTGTTTTTTTTTTGGTGTTTGTTTGTTTGTTTGTAGGGGACACACATTATGAGAGCAGAATAGTTGATTAGAGATAAAAATAAAATTAAGATGGAGAACATGAGCTGCAATGGCTTAAGAAGAAAAATGCACTAGAGGATAGGGGAGACCAGGGATGGAACGGTGAATTAATTCAAAGGAAGGGTATATGAAAAAGAATGTGTAAATGCACTATCTCACACAGCCATTTTTAAAATGATAATTGGTGATACAGTAGAACCCAAGAGAAGGAGCAGTACTGGGAGTTAAAGTATCAAGTGGCATGGAGTGGGGAATGGAAGATGAGAGAGGGTAAAAGAGGAGTAACCTCCTCCTGAAACTAAGACTGTCACTAAAACTAAGGAGGAGTAACCTCCTCCTAAAACTAAGACTGTCACTAAAAAGGAGGAATAACCTCCTCCTAAAACTAAGACTGTAACTCCTCCTGAAAACTAAGACTGTATGGAAAAGCCTTATGGAAATACACTAGTTAGTAAGCTACTTTCACAATGAAATTTTTAAAAAAGCAGTTGAATGGATTTACTCTGCATAGGTGGACA